ACTGCAGATGCCCCGAATCCAACAGCGCGGACGTCACGTTCACGTGCACGCGCTCACCGCTCGCCCGGATCGACAGGCCCATGAAGACACACTGCAGCAGCGTGATGTTCAGGGTTTGCTGCGGCGCATCGAAGCTCGACAGGTCCAACGCAATCGCGGCGGTGAAGGTCACGTTGACGAAGCACAGCCCACGCACCCCGGGACCGGGGTCGCCTACGGAGTTCATCGTACCACCGTACACGCAGAGCACCTCCGTGCCGTTCGCATCGGGGGGCGGGAGAGGCCCGAGGCCGGCCGGAACAGCCGCCGGCAGACACGCGTCGCCGTGGCCGCCCGCAGCGCACTCGCAGCGGCAGCCGCTGATGCCGCTCGCCTTCGCAGCGAAACACACTGCGTCCGTGACACACGCGCCGCAGTCCAACGCCGTCACGGGGGCGGTAATGGAGAGGTCAGATTCGTAGTCCGTCACGGCAGAGCCCATCTTCTCGTTGCACATGCCGTAGATGGTCGGTCTCGCCCACGCGGCATCGACCAATATGACGTCATGGACACGGCGGACGAGTACGAACCGCGCATAAACTTGTTGCCAAGTATCGACCACACACTCTGATCGTTGACGGACAGGCCGTTGAAGTAAGACACGTACATCACGAAGGTGGTGCGGAACTCGCTGTCGCGGTGCACCAGCCAGCTGCCGCCGCTCACGGCCAGCGTGTCTGTGCTGAGCAGCGCAAAGCCAAGGCGAAACTTGCTCGACACAAACTGCAGCACGCTGCCAGCGTCCACCACAACGTTATTAAACGTGCACGCGGCCTCGTAGTACCCGCCGCCCGCCGCCCGCCACGAGCTGTTCTGCACCGAGAACACGGAGCCGCCGCCGACGCTCAGGTCCGAGGCAAGGGCGTGCATCACGTGCGCCTCCGAGGTGGCGGCGCAGTTGTCCATGTAGAAGGCGCTTGACAGGTTCGCGCTGAGGCCGTGCTCCACGAGGATCGCGGCGCACGAGCTCCCGCCACACGCCAGCGTCGACCGCGTCACGACAAGCTGCGTCGACAGCAGCCGGACGCCGTCCAGGACAAGCGCGGGGCCGTAGCGGGCCCCCTCGGAGCCGGCGGTCGTCGGCACGTACTGCGACCCGCCAACCGTCGCGCGCAGCGAGGAGTTCGCCAGCAGCACACTCGAGTTCAGCGGCATAGCGCCCCGCAGCACAATCGTGCCCTCCGTCGACGTCACGTTCGTCATGTTGACGACGACGCGGGGCATCAGGCGCGCCATGCCCTCGCTGACGCCCACAATCCGCAGCTGCGCGCCGCCCGCAAGCACGCAGTGGCGCAGCGTCACGTTCAGCGCGTCCGCGAAGGCGTCCATCGAGCCCAGCTCCGCCGTCACGGTGATCGGCCCGCTGAACACCACCGAGTCGAAGCACGCCGTCGCCTGCCCGAAGCCCACCGCCGTGGACTCCGTCAGCGTCACGCCACGCACGCAGCCCTGCGCGCCACCGCTGCTGTTGGTCTTCGCGAGCGGCACGTCGAACGGCAGGCACGCCGCGCCCACGCCGCCGGCGCTGCAGTTGCACGCGCAGTCGGAGAAGGACGCCGTCAGCGCCCCGAAGCAGGTCAGCGCCGCCGCGCAGCTGTCGCACGGCACCACGCCCACGGAGGGCAGGCCCGCCAGCCGATAGTCGCCGCTGCTCTGCAGCATCCGGCCGCCGGCACGGTTGCACTGCACGGACACCGCGCCGCTCACGACCTCCGGCCCGACGACAAGCGTCGCGCCGCCGGCAACGCAGCGCGCAACCGACACGCCGCCGCCGCTCAGCGTCACCGCCGACAGGGACGCCACCGACGACGCCTCGCCCAGCGCCCACACGTCGTACAGGTCCAGCCACCCGCCGGCCCCGATCGTCCCCCCGTCGCAGCGCACCAGCGAGGACGCGAAAGACCCGTGAATGCCCACGAAGCGCAGCACGGAGGCGGACAGCGTGAGTTTTTCGCCAAGCACGAAGCCGCCGCCGCTGCTCGCGACCGACACGTTCGTCATGGAGAACACCGACTGGCGCCGCAGGCTGAGCCGCGACGCGGGCGCCACATACATCGCGTGCGCAGTGGAACCGCCCGACGCCTGCAGCGACACACCGTCAAGCAGCACTGCGCTCGACAGCAGGTCCACACCGCCGCCAACGTACATCGCCGACCCGCCGGCGTACGACGACGACAGCACGGTGTTGTTCACGCGCAGCTGCGCATGCAAGAGCGACGTCGCGTGCAGCACCAGCGGCGACGCCGCCACGTCCTTCAGCCCGTCGATTTGGGCGTAGCTCATCGGTCCCGGCGTCACAACCGTCGAGTCACGGACCGTCACGTTCGTGTGCGCCGGCAGGTTGTACGCGAACACGAGCGCGCAGTAGCTCCCGGCCAGCCCGCTCACGCGCACCTCCAGGCTCCGGTCGCTCGCCGGCTCGCCGCGGTAGCCCTGCACGTAGACCTGCGCCCCGCCTTCGCACACGCAGTCCCTCATATCGATGCGCAGCGCACCGGGCAGCATCGCCGCAACGTCGAACACCACAGACACGCCGTTCGTGATGGACACGCCGTCCATCAGCACGGTGTCCACGGCGCGGCCAACGGTGACGGCTCGGTCCACCGTCCCGCCCCGCATGTGGAAAAACACGGCGTGCGCCGTGGGCATCCAGGCACCCGCGGCAACGAGCGCCAGCGCCACCAGCAGCGCCACGGGGAGGGGTGCGACGCCCCCGCGCCGCACGCGGTGCCGGTTGCGGCGGCACCCACACACCACAATCCACATCCACTGGGCCAAACAGGAATCGCTGGAGTTGCCGCGGCGTGTCGGACTTGCCTTCGTCACCGCACCTCCGGCTTGCTGAACGACCTCCTACAAATGGTGAATCGAGAGAAACGAATTCGCTAAATGATTCTCCTCCACCTCCTACTCTTCTACTACTGCCACACCTTAAACCTAAAGGCTTGAATCGATAGTTTCGCTTTGCCAGCACGAAGTGTCTCTTTCTGCACAGTCACAGGGAGGAAGGGGCAGCGGCAAGAGTAGCTGAGCAGCGTGGTGGGCGGAGGCATCCCGCCGCAGACAATCCCCGCCCCAGCAACAGCGCCGGCGCAATCAAACCAGCGACACCGTTCGACCCCCGGCACGCCACCGCGCGAA